ACAAATTTAATGATAGCCACAAGTATAACCACTCATTTTGGTTTCGTATCGCCGTCTCTATTATTTTTGAGTAGGCTTGATATGGCTCTCGTTGCTTGCCGTGATTGATGATTAGCTATGAATTGTAAAAGGCTTAATTCAATGTATAATCTACGCTTAATTTTATTTTAATTTATAAAGTTTATTTTCTTTCTAAATCGTTTATAAATTTTGAAGAATATTTCAAAATAGTTTATATATAAAATTTTATTAGATTTAACGAAAAGAGTAGTTTTTTAAGTTTTAAGAAAATAACATTATAATCTTAATAAAATATGATTATTCAAAAAATATTTTATAGAGATATATTGATTAGAATTTATAATAAACTTGAATAATTAGCTCAATTTAAACAGAAAATTTTAGTAAGTTTAGAACGAGAAATTTTAAAAGTAAATCTGTTTTACAAGAGCAAATTATATGTAGTTTGTCTTGTAAAATTATTTAAATGTCTTTGAAAAATAATATAAAAATAAAATTAAGGGCATTTAAATAATTTTACAAGATGGACTGCATACAGTTTGCTCTGTAAAACGGTTTTTTGAAGAATACATTTAGTAAGATAATAATAAAAACTATTTTTATGATAAATATAAATTTAAGGATTAATTTTATGTTGAAGCTTGCATGCATAATTTTTGCATGGTTTCAAAGCCGATGTTTTGTATGGGTTGCCAAACCCCATTTTTCTTTTGGGGTTTGCCGTTGGGGGTGTAAGAAAGGCTATTCCACCTATTGCTAATTAATTTTAAACTGAACAGAAGCCTTGTGTTAAAATCCACTTGCAAAATTTTCATAAACACATTTTCTCATCCATACATATTCATCAAGCTCAACAATCCAAACAATTAATCCCAATCAGATTTCATGTAGCAATCCAAATAATTAATCCCAATCAGATTTCATGTAGCATATCTTAATTTCAAAAGCAATCATGGAACAGAGATTCCCCTACTAAATATTAGATCAACATGATTAAATTAAAGCTAGTTAATAACATAAATTATCTTCTGTAAAATTCTCAGTTAAAATTGTAAAATCCATGATATTGTTTAGAGAGTACTACTAAATGCCCTCAATATTCATCATCATCATCATCCTCTACTTCCAATTCATTACCCACATCTGAACCAAATTAAGATGAAATAATAAAAATAGAACGATAATATATGAAAAAAAGCATCAATCAATTCATTTTAAGATATGAACCCTTTAGTTCTAAGAGAGCAACTTGAGTCTTCTTCCCACCATCTCCCGCTGTGTCGTCACCTTCCTTTGAAAGTTGTCAAAGGGAAAATTAATTAAATTAAAAATAAAGGTGACATATGTATGTGCATATATATGGTGTGTATACTATCAATTAATGCTTTAAAGAATAATGGTATTTAGGATTAATGGTGCTTTGTTTACAAAATCTAATGGCAACCACTTCCTCGCTAACGCCGTCAACCTCATCATCTGCTCTATTCTTTTGCCCATTCTCTCATGTATGGATTATGCAAGTGCAAGTAGCAACTGCTTTCTTTGGACCTTCAAGCCTACCATGAGCAAGTTCAGTTTTTATTTCCTCCAAGTTTTCGAAGATAGCTTATTCATTGCCACTAGCTCTAAGATATTTTTGGTGTTCTCCTCTTTCTCTTTGTGAATTGGATTATATTTGGCAAGAATCTCCTTACAGACTTTCTTATTGCCATGTTTATAGGTAGCATACACAACCCCCACAAAATGAGCTACGTTCTTGAAAAAAGAGACAATGATTCCAATGCCATCCATAGTTTTTATGGTGCCAAAAGTCCCAAAACCTCTAGTTTTTGCTGCAGCGTCAACATTTTGGTGATCATAGGC